CCCCCCCCGTTGACCCAACAAGTTGCAAGGTTCCAAAAACTTACCCCTACTTCCGTGCAGCTCCTTGGAGTCAACCAATACCCATCCAACCACATCAACACGCGTTGCCCAACGCGTTGCACAAAAAACGCCAAACGGCAAAAAAACGGGGGCCTTTCGGCACGGCGAGGGCAAGAGCGCATCGCCCTGGAGAATATTGACCAGTGCCAACAGCGCTGCAAACAAACGGCCAAGTGTGCGCACTTCACCTGGTGGAGCGACGGTGGGTGTCACCTACAAGCTCCTTGGAAAGCAGTGGAGGAGGAATAATATTGGAGAGCCCTGGCCAGATGGCCATGTTTTTGGAGAATTGGAGGATACATATTTTGGGGAGATCCAGTATTTGATGATCCATCAGGCACCACATTGGGTGGTTGAATACTTCTTCGGAGTCTTCCGCGATCAGGATCCCGTCATGACCTGCGAGGGTCATCAGAAAGCCAACGTTCTCTTGTTCAAGTTCGGTTTGCACGAGTTATAACTCACCCGGCTTTGATTTGGGTGTGCATTTCAATAGGGAGACGCCCAACCAATGGGTTCACCGGGTTTTTGTCTATTCTATTTTCCTTCTTCCAGGGGGTCCAACTGTCTGGGAGGTCTCCTTATGTGAGCTACACACTTATTTGTTCTCACTGAGGATGACAAGGCCAAGAAGAAGAAACAGGGTGGACTGCAAGCTGGGCCTCCCGCATGCCAGGACCGCCGATGGAACACGGGACGAGAGTCTCTCGAGCGAGCGAGTCGCGGCTTTAGCCGCTGAGCGAGCTGGGACGAGCTGAACTATCTAATTTGGTACCACTCTTAGGATCAAGAATCCAGAACCTTGGAGGATCCTCTTGTACACCCACGAGGGTGTCAACAAAGAACTGGGGCTGTATAGTGTGCAAGCATGCGATGCTGACCACCAAAATGTTCTTGCATCCCATATAGAAATGGGGAAGGGTCAATATCTGCAGCCCTGGTCCACCATGTAGGTTGACCTTCCAGGTAGGTCAAACAAGATATCCTGCTATCGACCCACAGCCATTTTATATTATCTCATAGATTGTTCCCATATGCGGCGCTCAATCACGATTTTCCACCAAGTCCTCTTTGCCTTCGACCCGGATGGGATGCAAACGTCGGCCCAGCCTTTGGGACTTCTAATGATTGTAGAGGATCGCCTCTTTGAGAGAACTGTCGAGCCTGGCACCCTGCAGGTCCTGGAGAGGCCCTGAAGAACATGAGACATGAGGTGTTTGCTTGAGAGGGCAACCTTGCTGGAGTGGGCTGATTTCATGGAGTGCATTTTAAAGCCCTTCCCCAGATGAGAGGCCAGGAATGCAACTGAGAGGCCGTGGGAAGGCCACTGAGAGGCCGAACCTGTGCTGAGTTGCCATGGGCTCATGCCCGTTAACATTTATTATTGCACAATGCAAAAGGGTATATATAAGCTAATATAGAAGTATAAACATGTCACAACTGCGCTTTTCAAGAGATTTTGTTTGATTCTACCCATGTTCCTAGAGCCCCAGTGCAAGCTCATGGTCGTTCTTTGGATTTCTTGTCACTTGTCCCTTCTAGGCCTAGGTGGCTATAGACCGAATAAGGAGACCGGCCCCAACCATCCAATGGGTTCTAGCCATTTGGTTCGCACTAACTTCACTTCTCCGTGCCTCAGGAGACGACCATGCGGCACTGCTGCTTTGTGGCCTCCCAACAGGCCGGCGTGAGACATGGGGAGGCAGAGGAGGACGGAGGACGAAACAGCCCTTCAGCCCGCACGAACCAATTCCCTTCCCAAGCCGACGAAACAAGAGAAGCAGCAGCTTTTCGCGGCCAGCAAGACCCTCCAGCGAGGTGCTGCGGGGAAGTTGCCGAGCACGTAGCTGGCATGGAATCGATGCTGCGTCGAAGCCGTTTCGAAGTCTTCAGGAGCTGGAGATCCAGATTGGCACTAGAGCCTTGGCATGCTAAAGAGCCCACGGCACGCTGTGAATAGATGAGGTCTTCTTTTGTTGTGCACAGTTATGCATGATATGTATGAATATGTTCTGTTTGACACTCTGCATTAATTGTGCAACACCATTTCAGCACCAGTGTGCGACCTGGGATTGTGGCGTTCTATTAGCATGGAAACGCACATACACACACAGGATCTCGAGTCTTGTCAATGCCACCACAGCCATCTGAGTGGGAGCACAGTGAGAACACCATGGACTCCAATGGCACGTGAGTGAAGAAAGTGATTCGCAACCCTAGGACATCCCCCCCCATCTGGGAAATAGCATCCAATAGGTGAAACATGCTGAAAGCTCCTATTTGTGGCACACAGACTGAGTGACCAATGAGAGAGAGGGAGAGAGAGACACCAGGTTCATCTCAGTTCATCTCCAGCCTGATGGCTCATCTGTGGATTCGGGTGGCCAACACCAAGACACGAACAGGACATCCGCAGGTTTTTGGGTGATCTTCCTAAGCTCACCAGATCTTCAGAAAAAGCAACGGCCTGACATTTAAATGGCCGCTCATGCAGGGCCTTAGCATTTTTGGTTCAGGAGACGAGAGAGCGACAATCCCACATCATGTCCGAGACGCTGGGACAGAGAGATCTGTTTGTGTTTTAATCGCGAAACAGCTCCGCCCCCCATCCCCGTCGCAACGTCTGATTTGGGCCACCTGCTTGTGGCCGCGCTTCTTTGGCCATGCGGATGCCACCCAGGTTTCATCTCGGCCGCGCAGGCGAAGCGGGCGATGGAGGCTGAGGCGACGACCGATGGGGAGCGGTTTGCTTGAAGGATGTCTTCATCTTAGTAGGAGGCTTGGGGTTTTGTTCTCTGGAAGGATCTGAAGATGTAGGTGTTGAAGGACACTTCTTAAAGGTTGTTATGGTATAACAGGTTTTAGGTTGGCTTTGAGAGACCTCTCCTCATCTCACACATTTTGGTGGTTTTCACTCGCTGGTTCCCTCTAGGTTCACTGGAGCTGTATATACCTTTGTGTTCACCACCCGTCGCCAGGTCGTGCAAGAACCCACCCCACCCACAACCGATGTCGTGCCCTCCTCCAAAACCCCATGGCGGCCATCGCCAGGTCGGTTGGAGGCCATCGCTAGTAACTCAAAACAATGGCCTCTCCCTTAAATAACTATTCCATGGTCCTCGCACAAGGGACCAGCCATTCAAAACAGCTTATGGTTCTTTTTCTTTTCGCCATTAGGTTGGAGGCCATCGCTATTAGTAACTCAAAACAGCTTATGGTTCTTTTCCTTTTAAACTTAAACCGATGTTCCTTCGCTTCTGCGGTGCGGCAGAATCCGCAGGTGAAGGGCCGCTCCTTCGCGGCGCTGGTGACCGAGGGCCGAGAGCTGTGGCGCAAGGAGCTCCAGAAGGCGACGGCTGAGCGGTAAGCCGGCTGGGGAGGTGATGCGACGGTCGATTCGGGTGATGCGAAGGTTGAAGGAGGTGAGTCCTCGATGCAAAAGACATGATTCCTCATTTGGTTGATATGTTTTTGGGAGGGTAGTGAAGTCGAAGATCTGAGCTTGGACAGGTCGAAGTGGAAAAAAGGGGATCCTTCAAAGCCGGGCAGCGTCCGGGGCATCCTTGAGTTTTCCAGTCGAATAGAGCATCCTTGAGTGGATTGGACATGTGACATTAGCTAGCAGTATTGATGTATGATGGGTGTAGGTTGTAAATGACAGATGATCCCAAACGCGGAAGTCGTCTCAGTCGCCATGGCATCCCAGTTTGCGTGCTGCATCATGCTGTGACACTTTGCCAGTTGCCTTCTTGTGCCCAAAGAGGGATCCCGCCAAACCACGTGGCACTTGGAATCTTTGGATCTGCAACAGATCACGGAACACCCAAGAAACCAGGCACCAAGATATACCAAGACCCTCCCAAGACCCTCAGCAGGGTGGCAATCGCCCCTCTTGACTGATATAGTTGGCTCTACGGAGGATCAGTTGGCTCTACGGATCACTCCTTCAAAGTGGGTGTTGTGATCCTGTCATGCTGATTCCACCTGCTGGTACTGGTCCTTCTGTGGCATCATCATCATCATCATCATCGGGCACGGAAGCCGCCGCCGCCATCAGGTGTGATGGTCCATGGAATCCATGGAATCAGATAGCATGGATGGTCATGGATGGTCCAAGGTAATCCATGACCATTCATGGCATAGGAAAAAATATGAGAACATCCATGGCATGGTATGGAAGAGTTAACCCTGCACGGATGGATTCTCATGGCTCTGGCTTTGCTCCAGCTCCCAAAACCCCCGCACGGATGCCACCGTAGATGCCAAGAGGTGGAAGTCCTTGATGCTGGGCCTGCAACCGCGACCACCTTCAGGCGCGGGTGTCCGGATGCTTCGGGCGCCAGCTTCTTTTCGTTCGGCACTGCAAGATGAGGCGAAGACAATACATTTTAGATTACAGTATATATATATATGTCATACATCGTGATTACATATCATATTTAAAGTGGTGGTATATCAATTGTGTTATATATTATATATAATTATATATGGATTCTTGTTGGATTTCTTGTCAGCTATCAACTGGGCTCACGATTTCAATCTTGCCTTTCAAAGAGTATGTCGCTGGCGACATCCCGGGCCTCTGTCCCTTTTCGCTAGCCTCACTTCGACCCCCCAAAAGACATGACAAAGACACGACAAAACCGCCACGCCGCAAGCAGCTTGCGCCGTGCGCCGTTACACGGCCGCGCGTAGCCGCTCGAGGCAACGCTGGGCCGCGCGAGCCGCTCCGTCCACGGCCTCAGGCGCCTGGAGGTCTTCTATACTTCGCTCTACAGGGCGCTGTTGTTTCCCCGACGTTTGGACGAAGACACGCCCACAGGCGGGGTCTTGGGCGGAGGCAGAGCGATCGGAGCTGGCAGGTGTGGTGCGTGGCAGCTGGCGGACATGTATTCTGGCTTGGCGCTGGGGATGAAGAATGTAGTCTCACTGTGGATTAAGCATTACTATGCTAGGAGCAAGGACGCTACGAACGTAGCTCCGGGCCTTACTACTAGTAACAAGAAGCTCCGAGCGTCACAAAGGGCATCGCTACGAACGGAGCGATCGGACGCTACGTGATTCTGAAGTACAACCGTCGCCCAGACCGAGACTCTCGGAGAGTATCGATGAACTTCTGAGGGCTACATGTCCTTCCAACAGATGTGGGTCATGGCACCAGACCGAAAAAGGGCACGACCACCCTGGTATAAACTCGTGAAGACTACATGATAGACAACCACCAGGCTCGATGGGTCACGACCCATCCCCAATGTGGTTGTGGCTTAGTAAGTTTTTCTTTTTTTTCCGGTTCTTCTCAGCTTTCGATCATATGATATTGTCATGTTGGTCTTTCTGACAATTGGGTTTCAAGGACCACCACTCCTTGGATATTTGCTGATGGTCTCCATAACATGTAGACTCATTGATTCTATTTCAAGATATTTCAACCATTTCGTCCCCCGCAGATGCAGAGGGCTTTACCATCCCAATGAGGGCCAGTTCTATTCAACGAAGAGTCCACCCGGGATGTCCGTGACACCAGTGGTGACACCGTTGTTACTACAGTAGCTTCTTGTTACGTTCGTCGTAAGGCCAGCGGCGCGCCCCGCTACGAACTCGCATCCGATCGCTCCGGACGAAGTCGGTCGCGAGGCCCGTCTTGTGACGTTCGTAGCTGTCACGTTGGGAGGTGTTCAACACTGGAGCCCCTACAGTGGGCAGATCATGTCCGGCATCGGCGTGAGTGCGCCTCGGACGTCGCTGGCCGGGGGGGCTCCCGAGCAGCGTCTGGGAACGTCGCCGGGACGAGCAGGTAGGGACGTCTGGAGATGTTTGCTTGCTGCCATGAATTGTTGAGAATGGTTACAGAAGGGCTTCGTTTTTCTTTTGTTCCCCACCTGCCAGGTGAGGGTTGTTAGATTTTATCACAGCTGTTCTTCCTCCGCCTCCGCCTTCGCCTCCGCCTCCGCCTCCGCCTCCGCCTCCGCCGCCTCCTCGTCCTCCTCCTTCCTCCTCCTTCCTCCTCCTTCCTCCTTCCTCCTTGCTTCCTTCCTCGCCAATCTGCTTCGCCGATCTTGTCTGGCCAGCTCCGGATCGCAGTGTGCACCCCTGGACCTCAACCGCAAGGATCCCCTCGCAGTGTGCACCCCTGGACCTCAACCGAAGGATCCAATCGCAGTGTGCACCCCTGGACCTCAACCGCAAGGATTCGATCGCAGTGTGCACGCCTGGACCTCAACCGCAAGGATCCGATCGCAGTGTGCACGCCTGGACCTCAACCGCAAGGATCCGATCGCAGTGTGCACCCCTGGACCTCAACCGCAAGGATCCGATCGCAGTGTGCACCGCTGGACC